CGGAATCCACAAAACAGCTACAGGCCCCAGAATCCATGATAGCAGAAATAAAAAGAGTCCTTTCTGGTAGCTGAAGGGAAACTGGCAGAATAGTAATAACGCGACCAGAGTCCAAAGTGGCAACTGTGCGGATTGTAGAAGAAAGTCTCCTAATGCGTCTTCTGGGACAAGTTCATAAAAAGTGCCCTGCATCCTCACAGTAGAGGCAGAGTTTACCAGGGTGACGCCCTAGCCATTCTTGTTCAGACAGAGGAGGTCTTGGAGAACTGGGTTGTGGAGATTCACTGATGCCCACAGTGTCTCTTGTCATGGTTGCAATGGAGGCAGCAGGTGGAGCCCAGGACTTAGCTGAAGCATGGCAGAGGTTCCCGGATCTTTCAGGCTGCCGTTCACGCAGACGATGATTGATTTGGATGCTAAGATGAATCAGATCAACCATGACGAAATTGGAAGCGCAAGGCTGAGTTATTCCACTGAATATCTCAATAGTCAAAAGTCAGAAACATAGTCCTCCACTGAGTTTGGGCCTTACTACAAATTGCTCAGCATGGTCTCGGCAGTCTGGTGATGGAAAGGATCTGTGTGTACTGGGACATGGCCAAGAAATAAGGAGCTCACAGAAGCAAAGGCAGGATAATGTTATTCCCGAAGGTGATGTGTCCAGGCCTGAGGTTCCTCCAGGAGCTGGAAGAATAGGAATCCCACCTTCACCTTTTCAGATGAGAACGTTTGAGGCAGAAGAGAGAAGTACAACTCGCAGGAGTTCTGAAAAGTCCTGAATTTCTTACGGTCTCCAAAAAAAACGTTCAGGTAAGAGGTACACTGGGTTCAGGACAGGGGCAGACTGACAACTCATGGGGCCCCCGGGCAATAGGGGATCATGGGGCCCCTGTGTCACACTCAAACCACACCCAAAAAAGCCTATGAAAGGTATAAGGGGCATCTCATAGGGCCCCCTTCAGACCCCGGGCCCTCGGGCAATGCCCGAGTTCCCAAACGGTTAGTCCGCTCCTGGTTCAGGAGAAGGAGACAGTTCATTGAAGTTACAGGGCACAGTCTGTGCAGATTAATCTTTGACCCTTGGAGAATCAGAGGCAGGAGAAGTGCTTGACAAGGACTGCAGCTGGCCCTATAACTGAGCAGAGTCCTTATGCAGCCCCTGCACAACGTGGGATAGTTGCAGAGGGTCATGGGCAGAGAGGCCTCCCTTTCAGATTCCACCACTGGCTTATTGGTGCTTGAGGGAAGACTAAAATGATGAGGTCAGCGTCTCTTGAATCTCCAGCCCAGGCCCCATTGAGAGTGGAACAGAGGGTGCTGAGGGACAGGAGGAACACGAGTGTCAGCAGATGTTGATAGGAGAACCTGCAGCAGTGGATGCGGTTCCAAGAAGAGTGATGTCTGGGAACACTCAGCCAGGTGCAAAGCTTCAGCAGCAGATAGTTTGGCAGGCACTCAAACAGGTCGGGAAGCCAAGGTTGGATACAGAAGCAAAATCACAGGACTAGCCGGGGCCATCAACAGGCGGGCAGCGAGGTACCAAATCACAAGCAAAGCCGTAATCAGGAACAAGCCGGGTCAGGAACAAGCTGGGTCAGGAACTGGCGACAAGTTAAGAACAGAATCAGAATCCTAAATCAGGTCATGAGCAAACCAGGTCAGTAACAAGGGAACACACTGGAAGAAAGCAGGACACAGGGAACATCTGAAGACCAGTCAGCACTGACAGTGAGCAAGTGCATCCTTTAAATAGCCCATCTCCCGTGTGCGTGCACACATGTGCGCGAATTCTTGTGCGCATGCGCAAGCCTTTGCTCATTCTTATTAGTGATGCGCCTGTGTTCATTTCTATAAGCGATGATGTGCGCATGCGCATACAGTGAGGAACAGAAGTATTTGAACACCCTGCGATTTTGCAAGCTCTCCCACTTAGAAATCATGGAGGGGTCTGAAATTCACATTGTAGGTGCATTCCCACTCTCAGAGACAGAATTAAAAAAAAAAATTCAGGAAATCGCATTGTATGATTTTTAAAGAATTTATTTGTCTTGCACTGCTGAACATAAGTATTTGAACACCTAAGAAACAGCAAGAATTCTGGCTCTCAAAGACCTGTTACTGTGCCTTTAAAAAGTCCATCTCTACTCCACTCATTAATCTAACTTAGTAGCACCTGTCTGAGCTCTTTAAAGACACCTGTCCACCCCACAGTCAGTCAGAAGCCACTACTACCATGGGCAAGACCAATGAGCTGTCAAAAGACACCAGAGACAAAATTGTGGACCTCCACAAGGCTGGAAAGGGCTACGGGGCAATTGCCAACCAGCTTGGTGAAAATAGATCAACTGTTGGAGCAATTGTTAGAAAATGGAAGAGGCTAAAGATGACTGTCAGCCTCCCTCGGACTGGGGCTCCATGCAAAATCTCACCTCCTGGGGTATCACTGATGATAAGAAAGGTGAGGAATCAGCCCAGAACTACAAGGGAGGAGCTGGTCAATGACATGAAGAGAGCTGGGACCACAGTTTCAAAGGTCACTGTCGGTAGAACACTACGCTGTCATGGTTTCAAATCATGCATTGCACGGAAGGTTCCCCTGCTCAAGTCATCACATGTCCAGGCCCATCTGAAGTTTTCCAATGACCATCTGGATGATCCAGAGGAGGCATGGGAGAAAGTCATGTGGTCAGATGAGACCAAAGTAGACCTTTTTGGTCTAAACTTCACTTGTCGTGTTTAGAGGAAAAAGAAGGATGCGTTGCATCCCAAGAACACCGTCCCTACTGTGAAGTATGGGGGTGGTAACATCATGCTTTGGGGGTGCTTTTCTGCGAAGAGGACTGGACGACTGCACTGTATTAAGGACAGGATGAATGAGGCCATTTATTGTGAGATTTTGAGCAACAACCTCCTTTCCTCAGTCAGAGCATTGAAGATGGGTCGTGGCTGGGTCTTCCAACATGACAACGACCCGAAGCACACAGCCAGGATAACAAAGGAGTGGCTCCGTAAGAAGCATATCAAGGTTCTGGAGTGGCCTAGCCAGTCTCCAGACCTAAATCCAATAGAACATCTTTGGAGGGAGCTGAAACTCTGTGTTGCTCAGCGACAGCCCCGAAACCTGACAGATCTATAGGAGATCTATGTGGAGGAGTGGGCCAAAATTCCTGTTGCAGTGTGTGAAAACCTGGTCAAGAACTACAGGAAACGTTTGACCTCTGTAATTGCAAACAAAGGCTTCTGTACCAAATATTAACATTGATTTTCTCAGGTGTTCAAATACTTATGTTCAGGAGTGCAAGACAAATAAATTCTTTAAAAATCATACAATGTGATTTCCTGATTTTTTTTTTAATTCTGTCTCTGAGAGTGGGAATGCACCTACAATGTGAATTTGCAAAATCGCAGGGTGTTCAAATACTTCTGGTCCTCACTGTATCTATGCACCAGTCGCCGTACTGGAATTCCCTTACATCTCACCAGAATTCCCTGACAAGGTGGCTGTATAAGTGGATCAGTGTCTAAAGAAATATTTTAGGTCAAAGCACATTTTAATGGTTTGGCCATGTTTAATAAGCGTGCATCCTGTGTGTTATATTCAGTAATGCACTACTGCACAAATTGTTAAATTTTTAACTCGGATTCAACTTTGTTGGTGATCAAAGCTTAAATGACTTAATAAATATATAAATCAATGCTTAGAACCTCTAACAGTGTTTTATTACCGTCTGTGTCCCCATTTGGGATATTTGATGGATATCGGGCAGAACAGCAAAAGGGAGAAAATCTCCCATAAAACAAAGAATACAGCCCCCAATATTTGTTACAAACCAGGGGTGGACTGACAACTCATGGGGCCCCTGGGCAATAGGGGATCATGGGGCCCCTGTGTCCTTGCCCAAACTCAAAAATGCCTATGAAAAAGGTACCAGGGGCATCTCATGGGGCCCCTTACTGACCCGGGGCCCTCGGGCAGTGCCCGAGTTCTTAAATGGTCACTTCGCCCCTGTTACAAACAAAACAAAAGCAGCTCTGATTGCAGTACTCATCTACCTCCCAGTGCTGTCCCTTACAGACACACTTGCTCACTAATACAGTGACACTCCGTTTCTTGGATGAATGATGTCCGATGTCATTCAACCCACTTGCTATACGTTCAGGGCATCAAAGTCCCCTACCACCTTGGTCTTACAGGAATATGCTGCATTACCCACGACTGGAAAAGGATTTATATTTTTATGGATCCTGAGCTTGGATTTAAACTTAAACTTTAGGCAGCATTCACACGGCTTATTCTATAAATCCCTACCAACACTTTTCTTGTGTTATGGCTCTTTAAAATGGCCTGTGACAGATTCACATATCCCTGTTGTCAATTTTGATAATTTTCCTAAAACATGCCAAAGATTCAGGTAGTTTTCAGACGGTTCAATAGTATTTGCTGTGTGGAGGCACGAAGGAATTCTAAATCCTTTATAAATTCCCCAAAGTGTGTCAAGATCAATTACCACCAATACAATTTAATTGTAGCTTGAACAATAGCAATACATTCATTTTGAATACATCATAAAGTATATCAGTGACTGTTTCAACATATTATAGTGTTCTGATTCTTATACTACAGATATATTGCCTATTCTTACTTATGAAACTTGGAGCTATTTTTTCAGACATTTAAAAAACATGAATTTCCATATCAGTTTAAGATTCAAAGAGTTAATACCATCACATTGGCCTAAATTACATATTTTTTACGATACAAATCCACATAAAAGAGCCAAAAAGCTTTCGGTGTAATAACTCAATAACATAGGTAATTTGTGCAGTGTGAATAATATCTGTTGTTTATATCTCCAGAAGAATAATATTACTTTCTCGCATTGTAAGTGCAAAATGAAAAGGTTTTTTTTAAGCACAGTATAATTTCTTTGTGCATACAGCTTTGCAATAATGCTTGATAAAAGTAAGATTACCTGTTTCTCTTGTATGTACCTCTACAGAAAGCAGATTTAGCTGTTGCTGGTCTCACAATTACAGCAGAAAGAGAAAAGGTTATTGATTTCTCCAAGCCATTTATGACCTTAGGAATCAGCATCCTGTACCGTGTTCACATGGTAAGTTCAATAATCTTGTCACCTACGATATTCAGACTAATGTCGTTGAGCTTCTCTTGCTTTTTTCATCTGTAAATCTGAAAACATAACTCTGTTTTTAAATTGTATATTTGATGTATGATCTTGTTGAGTCAAGATTATTTTGGTGTGATTCTGATCCAAATTTTCTGACTTTTGCTCTTGTGATAAAGAAATGAATGTGATACATTACTACAACACACTCATTTAAAAAAAATAAAAACAATGTGCTGTAGTGCATGCCATCTAATCGTCTAATCTTTCTTTTTTCTGTCTGGTTTAAACTGTTGAAATTAGTTGCTATGGATCATCATTTCTTTTTTACAATTCTTTAAATGCCCATTATTGGCCCTTTCCTGTGTTAGCAAATTGTAAATTGTAATTGTAATGTGAAATTATATCTTCCAGTAAAGGGTTGCAATTTGCCCATTTTATCAAGAATGCCCCCTATTTTTATTATAATCATTGCCCATTTTTACTTGAAAACCCCAGTAAAACAATCATATATGGAGTATCTACAGCAATTGTATACAAACTTGGTGGTAGATAGCATAAGTCGTTTTTCCAATTAGGTTATCAGCCAGTGATCCCACCCCAGTGTTATCCTTTTATTTTAAATATGCATGCTGTAAACCATGCTTTGGGCATTGTGCAGATGTTGAGTCAGGCATGGGCCCCTTCAGGGATCCTAATCTAAAATTGCTAGAACTGTAGTATCTGCCATTAGAAAATTGGACAACTGCAAAGCAAAACTGTAAGGACAGCCAGGTATGACTCCTCACACTCCCAGCATGTCTCAGTTTTTTGCTAGTGTTCTAGGAGAACTGACGTCTTCTCTACTCTTATAGAAGAAAAAAAGGTTTTTATTTCAGTTATCAAGAGTTATTTTTCAGTTTTACAGACTGTGTGTGTGGACCTCATTATCTTCCTGCTATCCCCTCTGCACCTTCACCGGTTAAATGAATATAATGGTTTTAAATTTTGACCATAGATAAGTATTAAGTGTCTCATTTGGGTCTGACATAGCCTCTATGATCTGTATCTCATAAAATCATACAGTTCAAAAGGTATCATTTAATTAGCAAATGTAATAAATGAGTAAAAATGTAGCAGAATTTAGTTCACCAAAGGTGGGTGCTCAAAAAATCAGAGAAAAGTTACAAGACAATTTAAATTTGATTTAAAGATCACTAATGCATGTATTTGATGTGTTTGGTATAAACAACCTAGAAGCAGCATTTCAGCTACATTCACACTTGTACACTTTAGTACATATCAGTTTATGAAGTCAGCACAGAAAACTTAGGAATATGTAAAACGTACTAATTTTACATGGCAGTGCATAACACTACACAATGCAGCTGCCTTTAGTTGTGCCCTGTATTCTGCCTTCTCATTGGATAGACAGTTGCATTTAGTAAACAGTAACAGGTGGCTGATAAAAGAGCAGGGCAGAGAGAGATTAGTGTGGGGGCACAGCTACCATATCACTCACCTGGTTTCTGGCATAGAATTCAAGTAGTTCCTACTGAGAAACTTTAGTAAGTAAACGATTGCAGCACTTCCTTCAAACGGTAGCACTGTCTTTTTCATCCTACACTTATGCTAAAGAATTAAATGGAGGAGATGCTGCAAGATTGCAAATATATAATGTAATATATAGCTAAAGTTAAAGTGACACTAAAGCTTTGGTTTTTTTTTTTCTAAAATAACAAACATGTCTATACTTACCTGCTCTGATCTTCTTCTTTTCGGGTCCCCTCCAGTTTTTCTGGTTCCTCCTTGTGCAGTGCCCCCAGGGAGAGCTGTTGACCCTGGGGACACCTCTGCATGCTCATCCCCGAGCTGCTGCTCTATGCGTCCATAAGACATATAGAGCTGCAACTCGGCCCCTCCCCCCCTCTCTCCTCATTGGCTCACTGACTGTGATTAACAGCAGCTGAGGCTGTTGAGAATGCAACTGGATCAGAGGAGGATCAGGTAAGGATTGGGGGGGCTGGGGGCCACTGTACATAGAATGCATGAAGGTAAAAAACCTTGAGCCTTTAGGGACACTTTAATATGGATTTGCAAGCGTGCATGTACAGTATATGCTATTTTTAAGTTGCAGTTAAAAATATATACAGTATATACTTTAGTTCTGCTCTACAAATGGACAAGTCTGTACAGTGGACCTTTTAATCCAGTATGGTGCCAGATTTCGCAAACAACCACACAGGCTTCAAGGATGAGGCCAAGTTTAACCACTTCAGCCCCGGAGGGATTTCCCCCCTTCCTGACCAGACCATTTTTTGCTATTCGGCATTGCGCTGTTTCAACTGGTAATTGCGCGGTCATGCAACACTGTACCCAAACAAAATGTATGAGTTTTTTTCACACAAATAGAGCTTTTGTTTTTTGGTATTTGATCACCACTGGGTTTTTTTATTTTATTGTGATATAAACTAAAAAAGACTGAAAATTTTGAAAAAAAGACAATATTTTCCACTTTCTGTTATAAAAAATATCCAATACACTCAAATTTAGTCATAAATGTAGGTCAAAATGTATTTTGCTACATGTCTGTGGTAAAAAAAAAATCCCAATATGTGTATATTAATTAGTTTGTGTGAAAGTTATAGCGTCTACAAACTATAGTATATATATATTGGAATTTACACAGCTTTTACTTTCTGACTGCCTATCACACTTCTTGAGGTGCTAAAATGCCATGGCAGTACAAAAAAAAAAAAATTACCACCCCTTTCGGAAAGTAGACACCCCATGGAGTTTGCTGAGAGGCATGATGAGTCCATGGAAGATTTTATTTTTTTGCCACAAATTTTTAGAAAATAACTATTTTTTTTTCACAAAGTTGTCAATTAAATGATATATTGCTCACAGATGCCCTAGGTATATGTGGAATAACACCCCAAAACACATTCTGCTACTTCTCCTGAGTATGGGGATACCACATGTGAGAGACTTGTTGGCATCCTAGCCACATATATGCCCCCAAAATCCAATGACCACCTTCAGGCTTTCAAAGGGCATATTTCCTCATGTCACTTCCTCACTGCCTATCACAGTTTTAGAGACCCTAAAATACAACCACCCCCCCCAAATGACCACTTCTTGGAAAGTAGACACCCCAAGGAATTTGATAAGAGGCATGTTGAGTATGTTGTATATATTTTTGTCACAGGGTTTTGAAGAAGAGAAAAAAAAGAAAAAATAAATGTTCATTTTCTTTCATTTTTCCAAAAACAAATGAGATGTGCAAAATATTCAACATGCCCCTTAGCAAATACCTTGGAGTGCCTACTTTCCAAAAAAGGGGTCATTTGGAGAAGGGGTTCTTCTACTATCCTGCCATTTCAGGTCCAACATTACAAGCTTATGTCACACATCACCCACTCTTCTAACCACTTGAAGACCAAGCCTTTTTTGACACTTTTTGTTTACATGAAAACCCCCAAATGTGATTTTTTTTTAAAGCAGAGGCCCTAGAGAATAAAACAGTGGGTGCTACAAATTTTTATGTCACACAGTATTTGCGCAGCAATTTTTCAAATGCAAATTGTTTGGGAAAAAATATACTTTTTTGAATTTTAATGAACACAAACACAATATATTGCCAAATTGTTGAGGGTTAGGCCCAAAAACAGGAATTACCAAAGAGAATGAATTGCGGTCATATTTGTCCTCAAACCCGATTCACCATATGTTCTCTGCTGCCATAGCCAGACATAGATATGAGACAACAATGCGCTTCATTTCAGTACTAATAATCTCATGAAAAAAAAAAAGAACATTACATATATTCAGAAACCATGAGAATTTCCATGTGAATTGTCTGGCAAGAGCTGAATTTTGGTGGACGGTGATGTATAGTTGTGTGTATAAATTGCTTTGGCCCTCAATCAATGGATACAAATCTTGCAGAAAAAAGAGTGGAGGGGCTAAATGCTAGTGCTCACAGCTTATAGGGCTGATCCTGCTAACACTGCATTTTTGGGGACACTATACTAAGGGGGGACTAATATAGTTCTGTTCATGATCAATATATCCATACAAGCACTATACTGGTAATGGCGATGATCAGCAACCTATAGCGTGAGTGCTAGCTTACCCTGGCTGGGAGGGGTGCTTACTGACCCTGACACTATCTGATGATGCTAGTAGCAGTAATAAAGTGATCAGTTACATAGATAGTCTGGCTGAAAAAAAGACAAAAGTCCATCCAGTTCAACCATAAAAAAAAAAAGTTATAATCCTATACCCACAGTTGATCCAGAGGAAGGCAAAAAAAAACCCCAGCAAAGCATGATCCAATTTGCTCCTGCAGAGGAAAAAATCCTTCCTGAGGCAATCGAATATTCCCTGGATCAACTTTACCTATAAATGTTAGTATACAGTTATATTCTGTGTATCTAAGAAACAATCCAGGTCTTTTTTTAAAGCAATCCACTGAGCTGGCCAGAACCAACTCTTGAGGGAGTCTATTCCACATTTTTACGGCTCTCACTGTGAAGAAACTTTTCTGTGTTTAGAGATTAAATTTCTTTTCCTCCAGACATAAAGAGTGCCCCTTGTTCTCTGTGATGACCTCAGGGTGAATAGCTCTACACCGAGTTCACTATATGAACCATTGATATATTTATACATGTTGATCATTTCCCCCCTTAATCTCCTCTTCTCAAGAGAGAATAAATTCAGTTCCTCTAATCTTTCCTCATAGCTGAGCTCCTACATGCCTCTTATCAGCTTGGTTGCCCTTCTCTGCACTTTTCCAGTTCCCCAATGTTCTCTTTGTGAATTGGTGCCCAAAACTGAACTGCATTTTCCAGATAAGGTTTTACTAATGATTTGTACCGGGGTAAAATTATATCTCTCTCTCTGGAGTCTATACCTCTTTTACTACAAGAGAGGATTTTGCTCGCTTTAGAAACCGCAGCTTGGCATTGCATGCCATTATTAAGCTTGTGATCTACAAGAACCCC